CCATCGAGCCTCGGGGGCTGTGTAGGCACGGTCGCTTATACACATCTAGATGTGTATAAGAGAAAGCACACACACACACACACACACACACACACACACACACACACACACAACCGATCGATCGATCGATCGACCTGGCCTGCAGGAGGTTGAGAGAGGCCGTCGTTGTTCAATCGAAGAAGAAGGAATGTGGAGAAAAAAGGGTAGGGGGTAGGGGTGCGGGGGTTCACACAAAAAATTGAGTCCATATCTGGGGTGTTTCCTGGTTCTGAAGTTTCGTCCTTGTTGGTCTTCCTGGTGCGCAGGAGGTGGAGAGCTCGTTATGTGATGCGCGTGGACAGATCAGGCGCTTGGAAGTAATTATCGAAGAGAAGTCTGCCGTTGCAGTGCAAGAACGAATGTTAGCAGAGGAACGTCAGAGAATAATTGATGCTCAAGCCAATCAAATGAAGGCTTTGGAGAGAGAAGCCCAGCACTTGGGACGAGAGGTGGCGATCCTTCAGTCCAGAGTATGTTCCATCTTGCTGCCCAGCCTGTGCTCTTCCATTTCCATCCTAACTTCCTTAACAAACGCCATCTTCACCGCACATGTCCGTATTTATTTATGCTGGTGCCCCCATATAGACTCCATACCCTTCAAAGTTAAAAGCCATTCCCATTTTCCATGTTCAGAGTTCCAAAGTTCCAAAGTAGTTTTGGAATTTTGGAACTACTTCGGAACTACTTTGGAACTACTTTGGAACTACTTTGGAACCACTTTGGAACTACTTTGGAACCACTTTGGAACTACTTTTGGAACTACTTTGGAACCACTTTGGAACTACTTTGGAACCACGTTGGAACTACTTTGGAACTTCGGAACTTTGGAACTTTGGAACCACTTTGGAACTACTTTGGAACCACGTTGGAACTTTGGAACTACTTTGGAACTTTGGAACTTTGGAACTTTCTATGCTGAAAGTTCCAAAGCTGCTGATCCCTCGATGCCCATGCCCCGTTTGGAAGTAGCAAGTGCCCTGCTGTGACTGTCCCTGCCCTTGGATTTGAACATGTGGCCAGCGACTTCGCAAACACGCCGACCGTCGCACGGCCCGCACAGCGCCACGGGCCCAGAAGGGAAAGGTGATTTTCCCAACAGTGGAAGACGGGCCGCGTGGGAAGCAAAACAACCCATAATACCAAGAGATGATCCAAAACCACTTATTCAATTCACAAAGAACTAGCATAATAATATTTCGAAAGGTCAAGTAATAAACTTAGGGCATACTCACACTAGGCCCTCAAAATCTCAAAATCGCATAATGAGCGGGCAGATAGAGCCCTCTGCTTACAAGCACTGGATCTGGGCGTTCATTTTGCTACTTTGCGATTTTGAGGGCCTAGTGTGAGTGGTGAGTGTGCCCTTAGAGTATACTCACACCAGGCGCTCTGAATCGCAGAATCGCAAAATCAGCAGCTAGATCTGCTCCTTCTTAGAGGCGTCGTCGATCTGGCAGCTGATTTTGCGATTCTGCAATTTTGACGGCCTTGTGTGAGTATGCCCTTAGTAAACTGTGGATTACCTCAGTAAATCGTTTGGGTTATTCAAGGATAACAGTATTCGCGGCATGGACTGTGATTGGTGGCAGGGTTAAAAGTTAAAAGTTTAAAGTTAAAAGTTAAAACCACTAGTCCTGCTGAAGTAACCAAGAAAATTCAAGATTCCCAGCTGTTAACGGGTAGGCCCCAGTCAGGTCTGGTTGGGACACCACTGCATGCTGGGGGTCCGGCAACGAAAAAGCAGTGGTGGATTAAGGAGGATTATCACTTAACTGTTTCATCGGTCGGGGTACTCTGCGGACTGTAAAGGATTCGGTGACTTCAGTCCCCTGATGAGGCGGTGAAACTCAGATGAAACAGTCTGCCACAGCCCCTCGTTTGTTGTCGTCCGCTTCTCCCTCTCTGCCTACGGCTGACCAGTGCCCCTACAATTGCCACTAGAATGTGCCCCTACAATTGCCACTAGAATGTGCCCCTACAATTGCCACTAGAATGTGCCCCTACAATTGTTGTCGTCCGCTTCTCCCTCTCTCGACCGTTTCTCTATGACAATTGTAATAATTACCTGTGCTTGAAAAGGATTGGAGGTTACACATTAAAAAAAAAAGGGAAAAAAAAAGCAAAGAAGAAAAAGCAATCCATTTGTGAAGCATAAGAGGTTACAGTGTTACACATTAAAAGCACAAAATAAAATTTGACAAGAATTTCAAAAAACATAAAGACTCAGGAATCAGGATCCAAGTTATCATCCAACATCTTTTTTTTTTTTTTTAAATGAATGTTTCGGAAGAAACGTAATACTTGTCTTTATTGAGATACTTATATCTTCATAATACTTCATTGAATATTTCAGTGGATACAATGGGTACTCTTTTGGGGGGGGAAGGGGGAGATGGAGTGGGTAAGACTATGTCCGGGGGGGAGGGGGGGGGAAATGGAGCGAGTACCACTTTGACTATGTTCGCCATTCAAAGTATTTTGTCCATATGTCCTGTTAGGGACAACGATACAGAGAAGATTAGCATGGCCCCTCCATCCACAANAAAAAAGAGAGAGAGAGGATGAGTGCCAGGTTCTATTAGAACGTGGGAGGGATTGCTGTTTGACTTCCATTGCAGAAATCAGGTATCTGGATTCTGGACCTCATATTTCACTCTTTTTTTTTTCTTTTTTTTTTCTTTTTTTTGCTTTTATTTTACTATTCCCTCTACGTTTGAGAGGGAAAGAGTGCGTGTGCGGTTTTTGTTGATTAGAAAGTGAAAGTGTCGTTGGATCGCTGATCGTCGCTCACCACTGCTTGGATTTGGCATTGCAGGTTGGCAAGGGCTACTGCGACCGAGCGACGACAAAAGTTTTGCACCTGAAGTTTAACCCGGAAGCTGAGGCGCGAAGGGAATCACAAATTGCAGAGCTGGAGCGACTAAGAGAAAAAGTCAAAGAGCTGGAAAACAAAATGAAAAGCGGATTTGACGTGAACGAGAAACAAGGGAAATCAGTAGAAAATAATGCCCAGATTGGCGCTGGTGGAAGCAGTAAGGAAATTGCAATGCTTTCGAGGCGCATTGCCGCGCTGGAGAAGAGAGAAGCAAGGTGATGTAGAAATATATATCCAAGAATACACAAGTATAAGTTTCTAATATAATAAATTTATGAAATTAAAATTATTAAATAAATAGATCCATCGCCTCTGATGGGTCAATGACAAAAAAAAAAAAAAAAAAAGACAGGCCATGGCTAGAAAGCAAGGTGACATGGAAATATATGTCCAAAAATACAACTATAAATTTCTATAATGAAATTATGAAATTAAAATGATTAAATAAATAGATCCATCACCTCTGATGGGTCAATAACAACTTCGTGTCATCCTTTCTAGCCATGACCTGTCTCCTTTTTTTTTTTCTTTTTTTTTCTTTTTTTTCCTTTTTTTTTYTTTTTTTTTTCTTTTTTTTTCTTAATTGGTGGCCTGACCCGAACATTATCGTATCCATCACGCGATTCAAATTTCAAATTTTGAAGTCGTGATCTGTTTTTCAAATTTTGAAGTCGTGATCTGTTTATGAACTTTATGTATATTTCCATGCTTCGGATACCATCGAGCCTCGGGGGCTGTGTAGGCACGGTCGGCCTGTTTAGACTTCTTTCCTTTCTAAAATTCGAACTCTATTTTTTCCCCCTTATTCTTATGAGGGGCACCACTTGTGATTTTGATGCAACAAAAACAATGACAATGCCAGAAGCCTGCGAGAAAAACAACTCCTGGTGTTGATGCGCCGAGTCACGCCACTTTCGGCGTCTCGTGAGAGATCGGGCATGGCACGGCACAACAAGAAACTGGCCAAGTTTGTTGTTTGTGACCGAGCTCTGCCATAAAAGGCAAACATGTCTCTGTAGGTGTTCAGAGGCCAATGGGCAGTTTGCCACTCTTCCCGCTGCCGCCGCCCACTCTCCACCGACTTTCCACCACTCATGAACTGTTGCTCCTCGCCTACTTCCGTCCAATGGCCGCTGACTCTCCACCTGCCGTCCATGGATGCTCCCCTCTCTCTGCCCACTGTCTGCCGCAAACGAGGATGTCGCAAAAGATAGCTCAATGACGCTCCACCCTCGACATTGCCGCCGCAGTGTTCGGCGTGACTCGACGGTTCCGTTTCGGCCGGTCGCCACGGGGTCTCTTCTGGTGTCTTTGTCTTGGCTCAAGGGCTCCGGCGGTCTACGGACAACTAAATACCTGCCAGATGACGCCTATGGACAGACCAAAGGGAGACGACGCCTGAAAAAGACTTCCGACTGGCAGATACCCAGACCAGTCCAACACACTGTACCCAAACAATCCGGAAGTCGTCCTGAAAATATTTTCGTAGACAAGGGCCCAACGAAACCCAAAGAACTTTCACTCAGATTTATCCACCCTCCCAAAACGTCATAGGCGACCCTACTGATGGGCCCTTAGCATATTAACAAGCTGGTTAACAAGCTTACAAAGCTGTTTAAATAGCTGACAAAGCTGGTTAACAAGCTGACAAAGCTGGTTAACAAGCTGACAAAGCTGGTTAACAAGCTGACAAAGCTGGTTGACAAAGCTGGCTGACAAAGCTGGCTGACAAACCCCCGTGGTTTGCGAAGCTGGTTAACAAGCTGACAAAGCTGGTCAAATAGCTGACAAAGCTGGCTGACAAACTGACAAAGCTAGCTGACAAACCCCCGTGGTTTGCAAAGCTGGTTAACAAGCTGACAAAGTTGGTTAACAAGCTGACAAATTTGGTTAACAAGCTGACAAAGCTGGTTAAATAGCTGACAAAGCTGGCTGACAAACCCCTGTGGTTGGCAAAGCTGGTTAACAAGCTGACAAAGCTGGTTGACAAGCTGGTTAACAAGCTGACAAAGCTGGCTGACAAGCTGGTTAGCTTGTTAACAAGTGGACAAGCTGGTTAACAAGGTGACAAGCTGGTTAACAAGGTTTAACAAGCTGGTTGACAAGCTGGTTAGCAAGGTGGCTCAAAACTAGTTGATAAAGTGGTTAATATTACCCGATAAATGTTTTTTTTTCTTCAAACTGGCTGGCAGACTGGTTTACAAAATGACTTAGAAAATGGTGTACACTGATCCATGAACTGGTTTACAGACTGGTTTAAAAACGACTTATCAAACTGCTGTGTAAACTCGTGCACGAACCGGTTCACAAACTGGTCAGAAAATTGATCACACAGTTCTAAACTGGGGTCGGATCGGACCCCGCAAGTAACCCCCCCGAGCAACAAGCTGGTTTATACTCCCTGACAAACTGGTTCACAAGAATCCCAAGAATCACAACCTAGTTGATGAACTGGTCTACACACTGGTTTTTCGGAAACTGCCGTACAAAACTGGTTGCACAACCGGTTGTCAAACCGGTTTACAAACTGCTCCAGAATTTAAAAAAAAAAAAAAAAAAAAAAAGTGACGAGTTACGCAGGTCTGAACTGGGGTCAGGTCAGAACCCCCCAAAAAGCTAAGGCCCAAAAGCAAAGTTGACGAACGCAACAAATAACAACCCCTCTAACACAAAACAGGAGGTTAAGAAGACTGAGGGCGTACTCGCGCTGGGGCTTTTTGTTGCAAAAATCTGCACCTTTTGGTACCCCATGTTGCGGTTTTTGTGCCCGGTGGCAAGTCACACAAATGCGCCCACGGCCCCGCACCGTATAGGACATTGTTGCGGCCTGCCATTTCTGTGTGTTTTGCGGCGCTGTCAAGTCACACCCCAGAAAGGGCCAGAAGGTCTTTTTTCTTCTTTTTTTTTTTTCCTTCTTATTTCACTTTGGCCCAACGTGCACACCGTCCTGAGTTCACAGACCCCCACGAGCAAATACAGCCCACAAGGATTTGGTAATGGCCCGCCAAGTGCAACATTAGGCCGCCGAATCCCGGCCACGACCAGCCACCCGTCCCTACAAGCATCCCGGCACTGGATGCACCGGGGCTCAAAACCAGGTCCGGTACGTCCAAATTTGGGGATGCCCTGTTCAGGGCTACTACGCTATGCTGTGTCTTGAGCCTGAAAGATTTTTGCGCATGCCCCTTACCAGTTCAACTATGGAGCTCGCAGCGTTTTGAGCCCTCCGTAATTTTTTTTTTCACCAAGAGGAGCCTGTGCGGTGTAACAACGGCCTCGAAACATTCACACGGAGCCTGGCGGGGGAAGAGTACAGCTTGCCAATCAGTTTGGCAATCAGTTTGTGAAATAATTTGTAAACCAGTGTGACAACCAGTTTGTAAACCAGTTTGTAAACCGGTTTGTAAACCACAGGGTGCTGCTTCCCAGTTTCTAAACCGGTTTGTGAACCGGTTTGTAAACCAGTTTGTAAACCAGTTTGTAAACCAGTTTGTTTGTAAACCGGTTGGTTTGTTAACCGGTTCAAGCTTAACGATCACTTTGTCAAGCAGTTTGTGAAATAGTTTGTGCAATAGTTTGTAAACCAGTGTGCCCACCAGTTTGTAAAGTGCTTGGTAATCAGAGCCTTCATGAACTAGGTTGGAATAATTTAGTGAAAGTTAATTATCGATAAGTTTTATGAAAAAAAGGATCCTTGTAAATCCACATAATATTTTGCAAATTTTGAGGTCTGAGTAATCCAGTTTGTAAACCGGTTTGTAAACCAGTTTGTAACCAGGCTTTCTAACTGGTTTACAAACTGGTGCGAAAGCTCAGACTGCCGGAGGTGGGTTTGAAAATCCCAAGGGGAAGGAAAGATGTACTGCCAAAAAGTGAATGACAGAAAAAAAAAAAAAGAGAAAAGAAGGATGACATTGACTGTCTGTGGACTGTTTTGCTTCTGTGATGGCTTCTGTGATCCATCTGTGATGCTTGGTTGCTTGCTTGCTTGTTCCAGGTTAAAACAAGTGTTTGCGGAAAAGATCACATGTTTTAGGGAGGCGGTCTATTTTCTGTTTGGCTATAAGATAGACATGTCGGAGTCGAAGAATAGTTTGACAGGGCAGATGGTGAACACATTCGGGATCCATTCCATGTTCACCGACGACCGCGATCACCTGCAGTTCACATACCAGAACGGACGGATGGATATGCTGGTAAATGATCGACCTGATTTGACCATTCTTCTCTTTCCTATTTTGGTACTTCTTATGCTGTCCTTTTATCAATCGTGCGTCTCTTTCCTAGTTTGGTACTTTTATGCTGTCCTTCCTCGTCTACAAAGATTTTTTTCGCTGTCTGTTTTTGCATTCCGTTTCTTCTGTAATGTTGTTGACGACAACGGGCCTCGCCGCACCACTCACCAAATGTGCAAAATGAGGATGGAATGATACAAACCGTTTGGCTGGAACATGGAAAGATACATCGTCATAGTTTTTGTCTTTTGTGTATTTGGTGAGTGGTGCTGCGATGCCCAATGTTCAAATTTCAAATTCCTTGCCTGAGGTACCGTGATGATGGCCTCTTTTTCACTTCATCCTCTTGTGCCATGTACGTTCGGCTTTCTCCCAGTGGAACGCGGACATCCAT